CCGACTCCCCCTCCCGAAGTCCTGATGCAACCACCGGAGGCAGAGCAATCTCATTCCCAACCTCAAGATCAACCGACGGAACACCAGCCTCAGACTCAGATGTATTATCATCCGAACGGCTACTACTATCCGTACCAGCCGATGAATCAGCCTCCTCAGAATCAGTGTTGGCCCCAACAGGGGTACAACCAAGATTACTCAACTTACCAACAAGGCTACTACCCTCCTCAACAATGGGTAAACAACCAGACGGCCCAAGCGGAACTGCCGATCCCGCCCCAACCGACAAAAAAGAGGGAAAACGGTCAAGCTCCGAAGAACAATCGCAACCGTCCGCGCAACAGAAAGGAAAAGGGACCAAGTTGGGTACCTCCTCCCAACTCCAATCGAGTCCCTCCGGACTCAAACTCTATGAGCGCCAGGGAAAGACGTCGGCGAGCCCATCAACTCTCCATTCACCAGGAGATGATAAGACTCAGTCGCACGACGCAGGCTCAATATCAAGCTCTAGAGTCTATGAGAAATCAGAACGCAGGGGGCGGGAGTCGTCATCAACCCCGAGAGGACGCGCAGACTCCAAGAAATTAACATCTGAAGAGTTAGTACCCATTCTACAAAAACTCTTCCTCAGCATAGAGAAAATAGTTGATAATAATGTGGCTTTATTGTCTAAACAGATTAAATCAGATGTCACAGTAGGTATAAGTAATCAATTGAGTCATCAATTTGACACCTTTGATCCAAAATTCAAGTCACTATTATTTTCTTCTGAAAACTCTATTGCCATGTTACAAAGTATTATTAGATCCCTCCCACAAATAGAAGCTTCAGCAAAAAAATGGTCAGCTTCAGAGTCTGATTTTAATTCTCTTAACAATAAATTGTCTAATCTTAGTAATATGTTTTCCAACTCTCCTGAGTCCCATAATATTAGAGAAATTAAAAATATTGTGATGGCCCTCAGTAATAGAGAAGATTTGTCCAAAAAGGCTTTTGACAATCTTTTTAGTCTTGTTTATGATAAATTGGAAGAAAATAAAAATAAGACTGACAATTTCTTTGAGAAATTGACCAACAAATTGACTCCTGATCCTGAAGTTGGAACTTCTTCAAAATTGGAATCTGCTGAACCAAGAAAAGAGTCACCTGACTTGTTTCCAACAAAAGACCAAGACAAGGGTAAAGGGAAAGAAAGTTGTCATCCTAGTGCACCTAACGTACTGTTACAAGACCAACAATTAAACACTAATAATATTTGTTCTTGTCACGCAAAAATCTCTGAGCTTAAGTTGGAGCATGAATTACTCAGAGAAGTTAATGAGAAGATAGACTACCTTATTAACTTGAATGAACAGCCAATTGCAGACATCAATGCTAAATTGTTGGTTATAGAAAACAACAATGAGAAGAGATTCAACACATTGATGGCAAAATTTGATGGATTGAAATCCCCCACTGTAGTACCCAGTGAACAGGTAGAGCACAACCGGGAAACCAGTTCTACTGCAGGACCAAAAATGTCTCATGCTCCAGAGGAGTCTAGACCAAATCCACAAATGACTGTAAACAATAATAATGCTGAATTCTTTGAAACTAGAAAACAAGCTACAGATCTTGATCCTGGAAGACTAAGTGAATTTTTTGAAGTTCCCTCAGTGAAAGGTGAGACGGTGCCTGTTAATAAACCTCAGATGTCCCATGAAACAAGTAAGATTATCATGCAAGGTTTGTCTAAAATAGAAGCATGGCCTAGCTTTTCTGGAGATGGTGAGTATAACCATGTGGACTTTATCAAGAAAATTGATACTATCCAAGAAGACTGTCATATAGAAGATGCGGTTATCATTACAAAATTGATGAATATGTTCACAGGTTCAGCAGAGCAATGGTATGCCACAGTGAGAGCTATAGTAGGAAATCAGTCTTGGGCTTTCTGGAAAAAAGCC